AAGATCAGGCCAACTGTTCTTTCAATAGAAATGATGACATTTTGAAGCTCCCAGCACACAGTTGCTCCAAATTCACACGGTCCTTCACATGAAAGAAACCATCATCCCAGTGCCACCTCAATCATCGCATCCATCCCACCAAAAAAGAAACATATGTTCCAGACAGCATGGAAACAGCATACTTCAAGGATATGAAAATTCAGCGTCACCGAACTTTCAAGGTCCCGACTCAAAAATGTCGGCAGGCCAGGATCGTCCCGCATAGCTTCAACCCAAGTTCACACATATCACTCTCGCATGGAAAAAAGTGCAGCTCAAATCGGAATCAAAAAGGAAAGACATGCGTTCCGAACAGCATGAAATCACACGTCTCAGGCACATGAAAAAAAATGATATCATGATGGCATGGATGACAACTGTTTCACTGCATTTCACTGCATTGTCATGGACATGTCCACAAAAGAACTGAAAACAAAACATTGAGTCCCAAACAGCACGGAAGCAACACACCTCGAGCACATGAAAGTTCTGTATTATCATGCAAAACACAAATCAATCCTTGCAGTCACATGCCACCTCAACAGAAACCAGAACTCACTTTTCAATGCAACCGTTCCATGTCCACGGACAGCCCCTACAGAGCATGGAACAATCACAAAACACAATCTCCAAAGAATGAATGCAAGACCATATCCACAGAAGAAAGATGTCGCGAGTATGCTATGTTCTACTTTAGTAGATAATGCTTTATCTGAAAACAGACTGCCGATGGGTGATGCCAAATGTTGGCATCACGCTGCCTGCTCTTTGCTCCCTCTTGTCTTGCTCCTCGCGTGCTCTCTACTTGCGATCCTCTCAACGTGCGCCTCGCGTCCTCTGCCGCCTGCCTCTGCTTCCGGCCGGTTACATGTGACCGAGCCTGGGGTTCAATTTATGTTTGGGGATTTGCGCGAGAACTCCCTGCGAAAACAATCCAAACTGAACAAATCGGTTTTTGTTTTTTAACTTGGTTTGTTTCAGAGTTCATGTCTCTTGTAAGGGTTGCAACGTCTTGACTCTTACGGGTTTCTGTTGTTTGACCTGTTGTGTTGGTTGTCAATGGTGCATCCTTTTTAAGTGAAACTCTGAAACATTAATCTTGGGAACACACTTGAACTTCGTTGTGTCGTGCATTTTGGGTCAAGTGTGTTGGGAGCGTCATGTGCTGCCATGAGACAGAGAGCAACAGCAACTGATAAGGGTCATACAGCCTTTCATACTGCAATTTCGCTGGCTGCAGGGATCGATTTGATCTCTCGATCCAGGTGTCCGACCTCTTTCATTTGCTGCTTTCTTGTGGGTTTTCTGTCCGGATTCACATTTGCAATTTGGTTGTTTTGCCTTTAGTGCATGGATACAGTTCCACCACTGCATTTGGCAACTTTGACACAACTGCTGCAGTTGCTTTTTCAATTGGTCAACGAAATTCTCAGAAGATTTGGGTTTGTTCAGCCTGGACATCCAGTCCCTCCACAGCTGGAGACCTTTTGTGTGGTTCAGTGCAGCTTCTGCCATCTTCAATGTCGCAGGGAAGCAGGGCACCCAGGTCGTCATCGATGCCAACACCACCCAACAGCCCCATAACGGTTCCTTTTGAATTACAAGGTGGGGTTAATGCTTTTGTTGGAGAGGATGACGCTGAGCGCGTCAATGGAGATGACAATGCAATTGGTTGCACTGCCATGGATCAATCTGTGGGTAGCGATGCAGGTTTTTCTTTGGTTGGTCTCGGTGATGTAATGCCTACAGCAGTCGATGTGTCACAATCTGGAATACCAGCAGAGACTGATCTTTTTGGAGGGGATGATGATTTGGGAGCTTGGTTAGAAAGGATTGCTGAACGTCCTGCAGACCCTCCCATTACAGAGCGCTTGCAACCTGATCGAGCTCAGGAGCTGCCCATGGCTACAGGTTCAGTTGAGTACGGGGTTGACAGATGCTTGAAATCCTTAAGTCCTTCTATGCCCAAGTTTTTCTGGGAAGAAGACCCTTTTCTGAAGACCATTTTCTGCAAGGACGATGCGAACACAAGTCTCTTCAAGAGGCCACAGACTGATTTTGATTTGACTGTATCAGCGCCTTCCGATGTGTGGACGATGCTGAAACGTCCAAAGCAGGTACTGACAACTGGCATATGTGAACAAGTCATCAAGCACGTTGAGATGAAGGATGAAGCTGATAAACGCACAAGCGTAATCTCAAACTGGTCGAGCCTGGTTTGCATCAACCTCGACGCCTTTGCTCTGGGAGACACGTTGGATGCGTCTGGTGACACAGTGACGCACGCTGTTGTGAACTCCAGCCTGAGAGCGTGTTTTGCGCAGAAGGCCACTAGCACCCTTAGCAAGAGGTTCTATGCGGTCAACAGGTTTGTGAACTTTTGCTGCAGAAACGGCCTACAATTTTTCCCTTTGAGGGAGCACGTGGTTTTCCAATTTTTGCAGGCGATGGTTGCTGATGAGCGTACTGCTCCCTCTGCTGGGCCGTCGCTTCTTGAGGCCTTAAGGTTTTGCAGGAGTGTACTTGGGCTGAAAGGAGACATGGCAGAGTTGGGCACGATGCGTGTGGACGGCTTGGCAGTTGAGCTTGGTCGACGTGCAGGGCCGATAACAAGCGCAACCCTTGACAGTTCAGCAAGTCATGTCTCTTGAACGACTGGTTGCACAGACAGAGGACATCAAGGACAAAGTCGTGTTTGGAGGTTTGCTGGTTTTGCTTTACTCATGTGGAAGATTCTCTGATGGGCAAAGGGCTGTATCAATGATTTTGGACACCGACCTTGAGAGAATTGACTCTGGGTCATTGGACGCTCAGGGCTATGTGGAACTGCAGGTCTTAGGCCACAAGAGTGCACGTAGTGAGACACTCAAACGCATGGTGCTGCCCTTGGTTGCGCCCATCTTTTCACTGTCTAGCGCTCACTGGTTTCGGAGCTGGATTCATGCCAGAGAGATCTTGGGTCTGCCCGTGCAGGGCAGGCTCAATTACCCATTTATATGCAGGTTTGACATTCAGGGCAAAGCCATAGCGGAGGAAATCACATCTGCTGAGGCAAGCGCTTTGCTGCGGAGGGCCCTGAAGATCCCAGAGCAAGAGCGTGCCTTGATTAGGAGTCACAGCTTGAAATGCACGCCATTGTCGTGGAGTTGCAAGTATGGCACTGACCTGCCGACGCGAAGGTTGTTGGGGCACCACTTGGATCCACATGCAATTTCACCAGAGACCTACGGGCGCGATTCAATGGGGCCCGCTGTGCGCTGTCTGGAGTCAACACTTAGGGACATCAAAGCAGGTGAATTCAGACCTGATGAGACGCGATCTGGACGGTTTGTGAGGGCAGCTCAAAGTGAAATTGCCCAGACAGAGGCTGAGCCTGGTGGTGACACAGATTCTGATAGCGACTTCGTTCCAAGCAGCAGTGATTCCGAGTCAAGCGATGAGGACCCATTTGGACGTCCTTCTGAGGCGAGTTTGCTTTGGCATCTTGTACTTCCTGACCTGAGGCCGGGCTATGTCGATGTCCCAGAATCCATTTTGGTATTTAGGAACAATGTTTCAGGGATGCAACATTTGAAGCAGCCCGGAGCTTTGAAGTTCCTTTGCGGTCGCCGTGAGGGCTACCGGTACACATACTATGCCGGAAAGCCAATTCGTGGAGTTGCAATGTGCGACCACTGCATTGGGTCCAGGGAACTTGCAAGGGCTGAGAAGTCCTGATTTGAACTGTTTTAATTTGTGTTTACATTTTCGTCACTTGTGCTTTCATGTTTGCATGATCGTTTTTATTGCGATGTGACTCAGCTATGCAATGTTGCGACGATGACGGGCTCCGTTGTGGGGCATTTGACGTAGCAATGTGGCTCTGATGTTGGAGCAGCACGTCATGTCATGCATGCTAGTCAATGAGATGCGAAGCTTACTCTTTCCAATGTGGAAAGGATGTTGTGAGGTCAGATGTGACCCAAGGAGCTCAATGGAGCCGACTTGCAAGCGGCAGCCATATGTGAGGTTGCGAAAAATTGAATGTTGCAAGTTGCATGAGTGCGTTTTCAGTTTTCAGCAATTCCGTCAGATCGAAGCTATCGCCATGAATTGCATTCTTCTCCAGGGTTGCGGGACACACGGCATGTGAGTCGATTCTCATGCAATTGTTTGGTGGCTCAGAGAGGTATGTCTCTCCTTGTCGACATGTTGACAAGTTTCACATGTGGAAATTTCTGGTATCATGTCTCATCAGAATTTTTTTGAGCAGGTGTGCAACGTTCATCTGAGTCAGATTTTGACTAGGCACTTGACATGCGTCTTCAATTCACTTCTGTAATTTTCTGTGCATAGGTTTCCCGTTGCAGACCATGGCCGGATATGCTGAATCAAATGCGAGCTTCAAGCACCGAGCTCGGGCCATACAGCTGAGTGATGACCACCTACAAGCGCTGCATGACAATGACATACGTTGTTTCAATCACATGGCATTTGCAGTTAATGGACAACCTGGACAATTGGACCCTGACCGGTTCCAGAGCTTAGTTGAAGTGGTTTGTCCAAGAGGTGCGACTATGGGTGTTCAAGCTAGTCTCAAGCAGCTGGCATATGAGTCCTTGACAGTTGCAGTTGCGGCCATCAAACAAAGGGTCGAAACACCTGATGAAGCCTCAAAACGTTTGCCACCACAAGAGAAAGACCAAAGATTGAGGGATCTGAAAGCCAGAATCAATGGATTTGTGATTGCAGGTGACTATGAGCCAGCACACTGCGTCATCGACGCCTTTGCAGCCATGCTGGAGGAGGGCATTATGAAGTTTTTTCCATTGAGCAGATGCGTCAGTCGTGAACTTGAGTTGCAAGCGGTTAGATCAGACAAACAAGTTGTGATGTTAGAGGGACAGCAGTTGCATGTCAAAACCAAGAACCCTGAGCTGTCTTCAGAGCTTGGCAACGAGCTGCGGGTCCACCATGCGTTCGTCCGCAGAGGACTGGCTTTGGATATGGCCAATTTGGCTTCTTATGAAATGCATGAACGAGTCATGAGGGAGTTCATGAGCCATTTGACCAGAGCGGTACCAATGGGTTTCAAGGGGCCAACAATCGAAGCAGTGCTCAGGGCTGACAAGGAATTGTGGACACGCGTGGCCGATGAAGTTCGTTCAGAGTTGAGGCCTGACGGTGATGGCAAATTGCCAGTTGACAAAGCGTTGGATAAGCTTTACATGTCTCCCTCCGTGCTCTTTCACCTCCTCCCCTTGCCTACAACTGCTGCTGCGGGACCACCAAAAAGGAAGGTTCAAGAGGCTGAAGCTGAGCCGCAAAAAACTGAGCCGACGGGCAAGGGCAGTGGGCCTGCTGGCAAGGGCAACAAGAACAGGCAGGGCAAGAGAGCCAGAATGGGCAAAACAAATCTGCCTGCAGGCTTGCATGGATATAGCGGTTGGAACAAGCAGCGTCAACGCATATGCTACAATTACAACATGGCTCATGGGTGCTCCAACTCTGTTACAAAGGAAGGAGGACATGACAAGTGCAGCCGTGGAATGCACCAATGCATCAAGTGCCATGGAAAACATGGGTTGCAGCAGTGCAACAACTGACCCAGGGAAGAATCTTCCGTGGAGCAGACGCTGGCCGGGCTGAATTTTTCAGATGTGTTCCTGGTTGAAGTTTTCTGTGGTAAAGCTGGTTTATCACGAGCCCTTCGAAGAAGGGGTTTTCAGGTTTTCTCCATCGATCACAAGGCAGTCAAGGGGGTGCCTATTTTGATGATTGATTTGAATTCAGATGCGCAATGCAAGATTTTTGATGAATTGTTGGAGCAACGACGATTGCTCTATGTGCATTTTGCACCTCCTTGCGGTACAGCATCATTGGCAAGGTGCATCAAGCTTGGACGAAGACATGGACCACCTCCGCTGCGCAGTCTTCTTTTTCCAATGGGTTTGAAGAACATCTCCCGAAAGGATCGAGAGAGGGTGCGGCTTGCAAACAGGCTGTATAAGCTTACATGGAGATATATCAAACTTTTGGATAGCAAAGGTATTGGATGGTCTGTGGAGAACCCCTCATCGAGCTTGATGTGGGTGACGGAACCTTTTGCTGAATTGATGCGAGTTTTGAAAGGGAAATTTCATGGAGTCCTTTTTCATACAGTTACATGTATGTTTGGAGCGCCGCGCAAAAAGCAGACGGCCCTTTGGACAAACATTGAGGAACTCAAGCAACTCTGCAGACATTGCAATGACGAACATGAACACGCTCCATGGGGGTTGACCGAAGATGGAAAATTTGCAACAGCTGCTGAGTGTGCATACAACTCAGTCCTCTCCGCTCACTGGGCTCAAGCAATACACCAATATGCACTACGGCTGGGCCTGTCGCCACCGCCTGAGACGCTTGATGCGGTTCATGATGGTCATTTGCAACTTTTAGACCGGGCCAACAAGGCCATTCTTGGAACTTTGCCCCGTGGAAACAAAGTGCCTCCATTGCTCACCGACTTCCTGCAACACAAAGTTATCACAGTGAGCGATTACCCATTTTTGGGCCAAGCGCAGATTGGCGCTAGACTGGCCGACAACAATTTTTTTCCTAAAGGAGCTCGCCTTCTCAAGCTGTGGAATGACCAGATGGGGAAGGAGGAGCAGGACCTTTTTGCCGAGATTGGAATACCAGTGCCGCCACTGGACTACATTCAACAGGCGTGTCAGCTTGTGCACCCGGAATTGAGGGATGTGAAGCTTTCTGAAGGTTTGGAAAAAGTAGTGCAAATGTTGGGCAACAGTGGAGGCATGGCGCTCAGACGGGCGCGTATTAGCTGGACAAGCTCTGTGGTTGACTTGGCGCGTCAATGTGCACAAGCAGAAAAACAAATGGTTGAGAACAGACCCAGCCACCTTGTCAGTGTCTTGAAGGGTAAAAGGTTTGCAACACTTCACGCCGCTTTGCAAAAAGTTGCTTACGAGGATGCTGATGTAGCTCTGGAGGCCAACCAGGGCTTCCCTTTGGCTGGTTGGATGAAAAGGTCACAGGTCTTTGCGTCCTGCATTAGACCCCCTGAGATGCATGTTGAAAACCTGGTGGCAATGACAGCTTCTTACAATGCCCGGACGATAGCTAGCGTGAAGGCCAGTGGTGACCACGAGATGGACAGAGAAGTGTGGGCATCTACGCTTGCAGAAGTTGACGGAGGATCTTTGGAAGGGCCTTTTGAAACATGTGACCTCCCGTCAGGGCATCTGGTGTCACCGCGCTTTGGCCTGCGTCAAGGGGCCAAGGTGCGTCCAATCGACAACATGAGCGCTTCTGGTCTGAATGCAACAGTTGGCTTGCCTGAGAAGCTACAAGTTGACACAGTGGATGAAATTGCAGCAGTCATAAAACGTTGCATGCAAGTGCACGGCAAGGGTTGCAGGTTAGTGGGTCGTACTTACGACTTGAAGCGGGCGTGCAGACAACTGGGAGTCAACTCTGAACACTTCTCCTTGTCTTGGGTTGCTGTATGGTGTCCCGAGGAGGGACGAGTCAAGCTGTTTCGCATGAAAGGGCTGCCTTTCGGCGGCACTGCCTCCGTTGCATCCTTTTTGAGGATGCCCAGGGCGCTACGAGAGCTTGGTGTCAGAGGGGCTGCATTGGCATGGTCTTCGTTCTTCGACGATTTTGTCTGCGTCTCTCCTCCTGATAGCGCTGCCAGTGCGGACATGGCCATCCGCTTTCTTTTCAGGTCTTTTGGTTGGGTTCTGTCGGAAGAGCCTGACAAGAACTCGCAGTTCAGTGAGCAGTTTGGGGCCCTAGGAGTACTCTTCGACCTGAGAGATGTCGCCAAGGGCGTCTTGAGAGTTGGAAACACTGAGAAGCGGCGTATGGAGCTGAAGCAGCTTGTGGAGAAGCATTTGGAGGAGGACAGCCTTGGCAGTGATGCAGCAGAGAGTTTGAGGTCGAGGCTCATGTTTGCCGAAGGCCAAATCTTTGGAAGATGTGCCAAGCTTGCCCTCCGGTGCATTGGTCAACCCGCGCTTGAGCGCAAGAGCTGCCACCCTTTGACGGATGACCTTAAGTTTGCATTGCGATGGATGCTTGATCGCTTAGTGCACGGCCCACCAAGGGAGATCAAGGCAGTGGATGACGATGCATTGTTTTTATTTGTCGATGGGGCTTGTGAGCCGTGTTCTGACATAGCGGGCGGTTCAGTCACCTCAGTGGGCGCAGTTTTGGTGGATAGCCGCGGGAATGGCCTCTTCTGTTTTGGTACAACGCTGCCTGAAGAAGTCACCAGACTTTGGGGTGGAGGTCGCAGGACCCAGCTTGTTTTTGAAGCAGAGATCTTGCCATACCGATTGGCCTTGGAATGCTGGTCAGATGCCCTGGCAGGGCGTTTTCTGCTTGTGTTTATAGATAACGATGGAGCAAGGCACAGCTGGGTTCGTGGCACTGCAGTCGCGTTTTGCGAGGAAGATGATTCATGAAGGCACACTGCTCGAGTCGAAGATTAGGGTCAGCTCTTACTTATGCCGGGTCCCGACGGCGAGTAACATTGGGGATGGACCATCTCGTCTTGACTTTACACTGTGTGATCGCATTGGATGCAAACGGACTTTTCTCGCTACAGAGATGCTCTGCAGATGTGCGGCTTCTTGAAAGATGAATATGGAAATGTGTAAGTGGGGTGAAGACGGCAACGAAGCATACCCCAACTTAAACAAGATGTTTGAGACATCAGCGAGGCAAAAGATCCTGGAGTGCGATGTGACGATCGTTTGCGTTTTCAATTTTTTTCATGTCCTGAATGTTTTGATTTGAGCCCGGTTGTTTTTGTGAAATCACGTGACCAGAACCTTGTCGGGATTCACGATGTTTTGCTTTGTTTCAGTTTTGGATATGCGGAATAGATAGTAGGACGCTTGTTGTGTTTGAGGTTTGTTAAGGTTGCGAGTAATGCGCGCGCGTATGTTTGGAGCATGGTTTGCAAAGAGCTTTAAGTCTGTGGAAAGATAAGCTATGTTCTACTTTAGTAGATAATGCTTTATCTGAAAACAGACTGCCGATGGGTGATGCCAAATGTTGGCATCACGCTGCCTGCTCTTTGCTCCCTCTTGTCTTGCTCCTCGCGTGCTCTCTACTTGCGATCCTCTCAACGTGCGCCTCGCGTCCTCTGCCGCCTGCCTCTGCTTCCGGCCGGTTACATGTGACCGAGCCTGGGGTTCAATTTATGTTTGGGGATTTGCGCGAGAACTCCCTGCGAAAACAATCCAAACTGAACAAATCGGTTTTTGTTTTTTAACTTGGTTTGTTTCAGAGTTCATGTCTCTTGTAAGGGTTGCAACGTCTTGACTCTTACGGGTTTCTGTTGTTTGACCTGTTGTGTTGGTTGTCAATGGTGCATCCTTTTTAAGTGAAACTCTGAAACATTAATCTTGGGAACACACTTGAACTTCGTTGTGTCGTGCATTTTGGGTCAAGTGTGTTGGGAGCGTCATGTGCTCCCACCCTGTTCCTTTTCCCTCCCCGCACTGACACTCCCGTGTTCCACACAAAGGCATACACAGTGTCTATGTGACACTTAATTTGGCCTAACCCTAGCCGTTTGAAGACGGCAACGAAGCATACCCCAACTTAAACAAGATGTTTGAGACATCAGCGAGGCAAAAGATCCTGGAGTGCGATGTGACGATCGTTTGCGTTTTCAATTTTTTTCATGTCCTGAATGTTTTGATTTGAGCCCGGTTGTTTTTGTGAAATCACGTGACCAGAACCTTGTCGGGATTCACGATGTTTTGCTTTGTTTCAGTTTTGGATATGCGGAATAGATAGTAGGACGCTTGTTGTGTTTGAGGTTTGTTAAGGTTGCGAGTAATGCGCGCGCGTATGCGCGCGTATGTTTGGAGCATGGTTTGCAAAGAGCAGTAAGTAAGTCTGTGGAAAGATAATGCTTTAAATGCATATCTGCATTCACTTGAGGCTCCAACCAAACGATTCTTTTGTAGAAGATCCAGTTGAATGCCGCTCGCACGGAGAACGCGGTAAAACTCCATGGTTGAATTAGTTGAATTGGAACAATCAGAAAACACAACCTCCAAAGAATGAATGCAAGACCATGTCCACAGAAACAGAGCATGGAACAATCACAAAACACAATCTCCAAAGAATGAATGAAAGACCATATCCACAGAAGAAAGATGTCGACAGTATTGCTTTAGATGCATATCTGCATCCACTTGAGGCTCTGACCAAACGATTCGCTTCAACATCTAGTTGAACACCGCTCGCACAGAGAACGCGGTTGCAAAAACTCCATACTTGAATCCCACGGGACTCTATGGTCCAACTAAACACAAATCAATCCTCGCAGTCACATACCACCTCAACAGAAAACAGAAATCAATCTTCAATCCAACAATTGCATGTCTCAATCGCAGACTTTTACACACAGAGGCTTTTGCACACAGACGCTTTTACACACAGAAGCTTTTACACACAGACTCCTTTACACATACGCTTTTACACACAGAGGCTTTTACACACAGACGCTTTTACACACAAACACTAATGTACACAGAGGCCTTTACACACAGACGCTTTTACTACACACGGAGGCTTTTACACACAGACGCTTTTACACACAGACGCTTTTACACAGACACTTACACACAGACACTTTTACACACAAACACTTTCACACACAGAGGCTTTTACACACAGACCCTTTTACACACAGACACATTTACACACAAAAGCTTTTATATACACACAGACGCTTTTACACACAAACACTAATGTACACAGAGGCCTTTACACACAGACGCTTTTATTACACACGGAGGCTTTTACACACAGACGCTTTTACACACAGACGCTTTTACACACAGACACTTGCACACAGACGCTTTTACACACAAACACTTTCCCACACAGAGGCTTTTACACACCGAAACTTTCAGAAATCAATTTTCAATCCAACCATTGCATATCTCAGTCGCAGACTTACGCACAGACGCTTTTACACACAGACGCTTTTACACACAGACAGACCCTTTTACACACAGACCCTTTTACACACAGACCACAGACGCTTTCACAGACAGACGCTTTTACACACAAACACTTTTCACGCACGGAGGCTTTTACACACAAACACTTTCACATACAGAGACCGGACCCGTGCAATCGCAATATTACTTCAGTTTTTGGCGATCGAACCTCATTCCGCGTGTAAGGGTTGCGATTGATACCTCAAAATCGCAATTTTACCACAGTTTTTGCCGATCGAACTTCATTCGCGTGTAAGGGTTGCGATTGACACCTCAAAATCGCAGTTTTACCTCAATTCTTGACGTCCAACATCCATTTCGTGTGGAAAAGTTGCGGTGGGCCAAGTAAAATCGCAATTTTCCTCCGTTTTTGACGTCCGACGTCCATTTCGTGCCAAAGGGTTGCAATGGACGAAGTAAAATCGCAATTTTACCTCCGTTTTTGACGTCCAACATCCATTTCGTGCGAAAGGGTTGCGATGGACAAAGTAAAATCGCAATTTTACTTCCGTTTTTGACGTCCAGCGTCCATTTCGTGCGAAAGGGTTGCGTTTCGTGGCGCTCCGGCAGCACCGCCCCCGCCTTAAGAGAGATATAGAAAGAAGAGCGAGAGAAGATGTGAAGGTGCGAGAAAGCAGATCTGCAGATGTGAAGGTGTGAAGATGTAGATCTGCAGATGTCAGGGTGTGAAGATGTAGATCTGCAGATGTGAAGGTGTATGAAGATGTAGATCAGCAGATTTGAAGGTGTGAAGATGTAGATCTGCAGATGTGACGGTGTGAAGATGTAGATCCGCAGAGGTGAAGGTGTCAAGATGTAGATCTGCAGATGTGAAGGTGTGAAGCTGTAGATCAGCAGATGTGAAGGTGTGAAGATGTAGATCAGCAGATGTGACGGTGTGAAGATGTAGATCTGCAGATGCGAAGGTGTGAAGATGTAGATCAGCAGATGTGAGGGTGTGAAGGTGTAGATCAGCAGATGTGAGGGTATGAGGATGTAGATCAGCAGATGTGAAGGTATGAGGATGTAGATCAGCAGATGTGAAGGTGTGAAGATGTAGATCAGCAGATGTGAAGGTCTGAAGATGTAGATCAGCAGATGTGAAGCTGTGAAGATGTAGATCAGCAGATGTGAAGGTCTGAAGATGTAGATCAGCAGATGTGAAGGTGTGAAGATGTAGATCAGCAGATGTGACGCTGTGAAGATGTAGATCTGCAGATGTGAAGGTGTGAAGATGTAGATCAGCAGATGTGAGGGTGTGAAGCTGTAGATCAGCAGATGTGAGGGTGTGAAGGTGTAGATCAGCAGATGTGAGGGTGTGAAGGTGTAGATCAGCAAATGTGAGGGTGTGAAGACGTAGATCAGCAGATGTGAGGGTGTGAAGACGTAGATCAGCAGATGTGAAGGTGTGAAGATGTAGATCAGCAGATGTGAAGGTCTGAAGATGTAGATCAGCAGATGTGAAGGTGTGAAGATGTAGATCAGAAGATGTGAAGGTCTGAAGATGTAGATCAGCAGATGTGAAGGTGTGAAGATGTAGATCAGCAGATGTGACGGTGTGAAGAGTGAAGATGTAGATCAGCAGATGTGAGGGTGTGAAGGCGTAGATCAGCAGATGTGAGGGTATGAAGGTGTAGATCAGCAGATGTGAGGGTGTGAAGCTGTAGATCAGCAAATGTGAGGGTGTGAAGACGTAGATCAGCAGATGTGAGGGTGTGAAGACGTAGATCAGCAGATGTGAGGGTGTGAAGATGTATTATAACGGCTTCTTTTTTACGAAGAACCCTTCGCAGGCGCTCTCGGGAAAAGATCTAAAAATAGTTGTGTTCCGGGGAAGGTAAAAAAATGTCCGTCGCAGATTGTCTTCCTCTGGGGGAGGGGGGCGTCGAAGATTTGGAATGTGAAAAACACTGCGAATGTCAGAGTTTCAGAGCTTTGGCATATCAGACCGCGCGGGTTAAAGACTTAAAGGGACACTACAGAACCTCTGAAAACTGCTCCCGGGGAACCTTTTGCAACAAAGAATATCTTCTTTCCGGTTGTTTCTTTTAAACGCCCCTTATTTTGCATCTTCTGTTTTGAAGCTTGCGCTATAGCTGTCCAACAGGGGAATGCAAATAGGGCTGGCACGAGAATTGTGGTCCTGGGATGCTTGGCTTCCCTGGGGCAACCTTACGCCGCTAAACGCAAAACTCCTACGACGAAATTCTTTCGAACCATCGCTGCTAGCTTAAAGATGTCTAGAGGGTCTTTCTGCGCGGACACGCTTGCGGCGTTTGCAAACAGTGTAAAAAACGTTTTATATATTGGCACTGGCACTACACTCCAAGAACCCCCGCATCAACCGGCGTCATTAA